TCATTAATTAGGTATTTCACAATTATACGTACAATCTTTCCAAATACGTATCAAAATGCATTTTCAATAAAAATTACGAAGTGATCTTTTTCATAAAGGTTTTTTATTTTCCAGTTAAAGATAACTGAATTATCGATCACCGCGAATGAAATCTTTACGAACAATCGATCTAATATTTCGGAGGGAGTATTTTTTTTTCTCACTCGCGATAGAGGTAAAGATCGAGATGAAGAGAAGACGAAGAAGATGGCAAATAAATAAAGATAAAACAAAGCAAAATAAAGCAAGAAAATCGGATAGTGAGGTGAAGAGGTATCGAAAAGAGAGCTACAGTGGCTACGTAGGAAAAAAAATGACGCCAGTATTTTTAATGGGAAGCTGAAGGCGAGTTGAATAGAACGAGCTTTTGGGGTGGGTACCGACACTCAGTTTCTTTGATCAATAATGAAACTTTTCTCCGTCTCTCTCTTTCTCTCGTTCTTTCCTATCTACCACCCTGTTGCCATCCACCCTCCTCTCTTGTAGCCCTGCTTTTCCTTTCTCTTTCTATCTATCTGTCTTTCTTTCTTTCTATTTTTCTTTCTTTCTTTCTTTGCTTCCATCGTTCTCTATCTTATCTTATACATTTTTAACCCTTATTTCAATCCCTCGCGAGGACATCGTGAGACTCTACGAGGGTTCAAAGCGAGAGCCAAGTTCTAACAAGCCTCAGGCTTCGTACCCCTTGGCCCGTGGATGTCTCTTTTAAATAATCCATCGGACGATCCATTCGTACGAAAGCACCGTTTTTCTGCGAAAGGTTTAATAGTCTTCAAACTACTAGAGTAGACAGTCTCCTAGAGTGGCCTCAAAAAATTTCGAATTTTCGACTGCAAATATTCCGAGGTTCCATCAAAATTCTCATCTTTCATGAATTTTATTTTTTTTTGTATAAGATATCGTAAGACAACCAAAATTAAGATACCTCAAATAATATACATTATCAAGATTTTTAAAGAATATAGTACTTTATGAAACTCACTTTGAATAATTCAAAATTATTCTTTTAAGATTGTTCAAGCAGCACGAAGAAAAATTCTGCTAATATTCGCTTCAGTTATTGAGATAACTGCTTTAGAAAAAGTTATGTGGACGATTCTCCAAAAATTTGTTCACCGTTTTTAAAAGAAGTTCAGGTAATTTATAATTTATCGAAAGTAATCTTTGAAACGACAGTTTCGTCATTATCTTTGCGGAGACACACTTTCTTGTGTCTGTTAAATATTCTGATATGTTAATGAAGAATTTCTTTACTTTATTTTTATTCTTTCGTCTATTCAAGGAAGAAAAGTAAAAAAAGAAACGATTAAGAAAGAATTTAACATTTTTTTTATTTTTAGAGATCTGATCTATCATGGACATAATACTCGTCTAACCAGAGACAAAATCCTTGCATAGATTTCTCATTCTTTCTCGTAGCGTCTTTTTTTCGTGTCTTTCGCCTCTTGACAAAGAAAGCGAAGTCGTTCTCTTTACTTGGGGATCGTAAAAGTCAAGGAGATTCGAGAGTGTAGGATATGGTGAGGAACGAGGGAATACGATTTATAAGAAAAAGAAGAGGAAAAGAGATAGGGAACAAAAAGAGGGAGGAAAAAGAGGTTGGACCGCACAAAGAAAAAAGCGCAGGCGGGAGGTCGAGGTGAACACGGAGGGAAATAGAGAGAAAGAGAGAGAGAGAGAGAAAGAGAGAGAGAGAGAGAGAGAGAGAGAGAGAGAGAGAGGTGCGGAATAATGCTTAACAAGCCGACTTGAAAGGACGGCCGCCATGTTGAGTCAATACTTGAAAGTCTTTGCTCATTAAGAATATTTTACATCTGGCTCCTCCGGCAGCACCGCCGAGTCTTTAATTCCTCTTTCCCTTCTGCCATTCCGTTCGTTCCGAAGCCGTGCTCGCTTCGCTCATCTTCGAAGAGAGAAGCTTTCTTTTGCTTCCTTTTACTCTGTCCCCTTCGCCCTCACTCCCGCCTTCACGTTCGAGGTCCGTCCCCTTGGTGCCTGGTTGCATACCGGGGGTGGTTGGACCCTCGAAGATGGAAGTTATTTACGCGCCACTCGGAACACCCTCTACCATCGCGAACTCTCTCACTCTTTTTCTCTCTCTTTCTTTTGGTTTCCCTTCTCACAACCCCTCTCATCGGTTGCCACCCCCTCTGTTGCCACCACCGCCGGCGGCCTTGGCTGGCCATCACGTCCGCCATTGCCTTCCTTTTCTGACCCCTTAAGAACGACGGAAAGAATTCCTTCGACTTCATCCACGAACCAACCCTCCGTCCGCCCTTTGCCGTCTCTCTCTCTTTTTCTTTTTTCTCTTTTTATTCCTTTCCTCTTTTCTTTCTCCTATCGTTCTTCTACCATTGCATAATCACCATTCCATTTCGTGGCGTTTTTCCTAATTCCTACCCAATTCCGCTTTTAGCATTTCAATTTATACCCGCGGACCGATCCGTCAGACGTGCCTATCCTCCGGTAACGATGGATTATTATCGAAGACGTACCGCTTCGAATGGAAATTTACGTTGAAAGCGGGAAGAGGGGTGAAATTGTTTTTTTAGGCGTTCGACAGAAAAATGGACATCAATCTCTTTTGTTGTTCTTTTAACTTTTTTTCTATGGATAATTATTTATTCGATCTCGAGATAGAAAAATAATTGAATTTACTTAACTTACATATATATCTACATATAAGTGCTCGACAGACTTATTGAAGAATTTTGATATTCTTGTTTTTGTTATAATTTTATTCGCTAGTCATATTACCGTTAGATCAATTCATAAAACGATAAATCCGTTGTTACCCCTTGTCGCGAATAGGGGTTTGGTTATAAAAATAAATCACATGTGCACATCGGTAGTACGTTTCTCGCGTTTCTCAATTGTATCAACTTTAACCCTTTCATTGTTTCGCTTTTTTTCCTATCGATCCTTTCTTAGTATTTCACTGGCTTCTTTCGCGAACCCTTTCTCGCGCGTTTCGTGTTAGAAACGGGCGAGGAGATTCGAAGTTTGTCCGTGCGAACAAATGCTTGCACGAACGGCATGTTAGCGTACATAATAAGCTGTGCAGAAAGCGAGCAAACGAGAATGAAAAAGGAGAGAGAGAGAGAGAGAGAGAGAGAGAGAGAGAGAGAGAGAGAGAGAGAGAGAGAGATAGAATGAAACAAAAACTGGTCTCGCGAGGTAAAACAATAGGGGGTTCCTTCGGAAGGGCAGACAGAGAGAAAGAGAGAGAGAAATACCATACAACCCCGTAGAGTCGTACAGCCATGGCACGACGTGTGTGAAATTCAAGAACCTGTAGCGCGAAGAAGAACAAAACGTTACTGCCAGCTGCGCGGTGCATACGTTATTAGTGTGTCGTTTTGTCCTTCTTCATCGACATTCTTACTGGAAAAAGAAAGAGAAAGAATGAGAAAGAATGTAAGAGAAAGAGAGAGGACCAAAGATCATAATTCCAGCGAGACGGTGCAACGCGTTAATATACCGATTCTCTTCCTTCTTCTCGGCAGAGTCTCTTTACCCTACATTTTCTTTGGTACTTTTCATTCCCTATCCTTTCTCACTCTTCTCTCTCTTCTTCCCCATCTACCGAGAAACAGGTTCTTCTTTATTCGGCCCGCTTATTATGCAACTTATTGTTTTCGCCGAGACACAAGGGTCTCCGAGTGGTCCTGAATCAGGCGAAAAAAAAAACGAGTCTTCGAGTGACTCGTTCCACGGCTTTGGGTTCTCATACTTTCATCTCTCATACTGAATTATCATAGCGTTAGATTTTTGTCACTTTGACGAACCGCTTTTTTTTAACCGGTAGATAACATTGTGATATTTGGATTAGAAAGGATCCTTTACGAAGAATATACATATAGAGAAGTAGATAAATAAAAAGGTTCTGTATTGTATAGACTAGAAGATCATATTCCATGCAAGATGGTTTCTTTGATGTTTTTTACTTTTTTACTTTTTTTGAATACTTTTTTGACGATGTTCCCATGGACCGATTAGGATGACAATTGTGACATTTTTTTTCTTAATTTCTTCATAAGCGATTAATAATCATGTAATATATGGTTCCTTGGTACATTGCTAAAATGATGCAGCACCAATAAACAGCAGATGTCCAGAAGCAAACGGAAAAGATTTTCTTTTCATTTTTACTTTTTCTTTTTTTTTAGCAAGAACTCCCGTGGACCCGTCCAGGTGTCCATTGTGGGTCCGAGCTATGATTCTCAACCCTTAATCCTTAACCCTTTGGCCGCACGCATCCGCCTGCAGACGCCCATTTACCGATTCTGAAACAATACCGACCGGACCGCACCCCGGATGCGCACGTTTATTAAGTAATGTCCCCCTTTGCTTTTCGTTTCGCAGCTGGCCGAGCAAAAAAAGCACTGTTGCTTTTGTCTATCGCTTCTCGCAGTCCAACGATGCTTTTCTAACGACTTCTAGCGATTATTATGTCATAAGATAGAATGTCCGCTATGTTTAACGTTGGGATGTCCTGTTCGAATTCAAGGTCCAACTGATTTTTATATTTTTTATGCACGATCACTATACCACATTAACTTATTCGTTATTTAAGAAATTTTATATCTTTTTCTTGTTATAATTTTACTTGTTCGTCATATTGTTACATTTGATCAGTTCACAAGATTATGATTCTAAACGTTGAATTGTTACAATATACTATTAAATCTATATAGCTAACATAAGATAAACTTTTAGAACTTAATAATTGTAAATTTCTTTTCTTCTCTTGATGTTTCTTTCTACAATTCCTCTCATCGAGTATTTTTTTATTATTTATTTTTTATCTTTTATTCTTTATTAATTTTAAAATTCATAAAAATAAAATGAGTTTATTTAATAATGCATACGTTAATTAATTAAATACAAACGTTATACTAAGCAGTAATATCTAAGAATGGAAAGTTCATAATAATGATTACAATATTTATTCTCGCAAGTATATTTCCATTGATCTAGAATAATTGATCTTTCTTCTTTATAGTCATCTTTTACATTTTTATTAATATCTCAAGTATAAAACATCATATGCGAAAATTCTTGTGTAAAATCGATTTCTTGAATTGGTGATAGTATTCAATCAACGTACGTCGTACCATTCAAAGACGAGTCGCAAGGGGTTAAGCGAAACCTGACCAGATCCGTGGCTCACCCCACTACGTGGCCGGCAAAAGGGTGGCCCTTGGCACTAGAACCCGTCCTTCGTTCATGCAAAATGCAAGAGGCCAGTTTCGAAACGGCCGGCCATCAAATATCCACGCCGTTACTATTTCCGAATAAAAATTCTTTCGCGAGCTGTTTGAGCAATTTTTGTCTCCTTGTCACGTTAAATTTGATTTAACGTATTTTTTTTACCGGAAGTGACGATACGTCAAAAATATTTTGAACGTGATCTACGTGATAGAATCACAAGCGATGTTTCAATATTTGGATCGAACATTCTACAAACCGATTGAAATCGAAAGTGTCGTTTAAATCGAAAAGGCAAACGATGGTGCTGCCAAATTGATTTACTATCAAAATGTTATGCTTTTTAGTGACAATTCGGACATGATTTTAGAGTTTTATAATTTTACAATTAGATTATTATTATATATTATATCTTAACAGTAACTTTACGGAAAAGAGAGAATAAAAATTAATATTAGCTTATTAATAAAATTATAATACTTTGTTTTTTATCATTTTAAGATATGAATCTTCAGTACAGTGTAGTTACAAGAGTATAGGCTCATGATGCCGCGACTCTAAATACCTACAAATAAAATATTTATATAATTTTTCAGTTCGGTAAAGTGAATTTTGGGATACTATGCATACGCAATATTTTTTTGTTTATTATTTTTTGTAAATTTTTGTGAAAATATGGTGAAAGGAGGACTAAGAAAAATATTATTATAAAATCTAACATCGAATACAATATTATAGACGGTAGAATAAATAAATGTGTATTGCTCGAAATTCATTTTTAAGGTTGCAATTTAGTAAGGATTTACTCATTTTTTATCATTCTGATTTAATTCCATTACCAACAGATTTTTCTCAATGCACCGTCTTAAAAGGTTGACCTTAATCTCAGGAGGATCAATTAGTCTCTGATTAATCCTCGCGTAGCATTCTCTCATCCGTTTCCTCTTCAATTGTCTGTGAAATTATCGTAAGTAATTTAGTTCTCGTAATGGTCTGGACGGCTTTCCACTCCGTCAACTTTTATAAAGTTGCCGACTTTACTCGTTTGTGCATAATTACTATTAATTAAGTAAAGATACAATTAAAATCTTTTTACCTCAATTCGTATGATCGAACGAAGATGCATAATTATAATTACTAGATATTGTTATTATTATTATTATTTCTTTTTTCTGGTCGAACTAACTCAGGGAACTTTTTCTCATCTAAGATAATTAATAATTATATATATATATATAATAATTAACATAAATATATGATTAGAAGGATCAAAAATTATGTAAAAAAATGTTGAAAATGTGTAATAAAAATATGTAATAGAGGTGGGAGGGGGTGAAGTTAAGGAAAGAGGGTGTGGTTGCTTAAAATGTCGGACCTTGGAGTACGTACGACCATATTCCGCTTGCTTGCTCCCTTCGTAAGCTTGACAGTGGAGGAGGTAAACCCCACCCACCCCTTTGTATGTAGAAGGTACGGAGCCATTGATTTTGAATATGTAATCGGAGGCATTTTATTATTCCATCGTACTTTGATCGGGGAAGGGGTTTGCTGTTTCTCCGTATCGGACGGGGGGTGGTTCGATCACCATACCACCGCCATCGACCTTCGTTTCTCGTCCATGAAAGGAGAGTAGGGTGAGTAAGCGAGCGAGCAAGCGAGAAATAGAAAGAGTACGAGAAAGAGAGAAAGAAAGAGAAAAAGAGAGAGAACAGAGTTGATTCTCCTCGGCAACTACCACCGTCAGAACCAACGTAAGCACCACCACCACCACCACCACCACCACCACCACCACCACCATTACTACTACTACCACTACCACCCTCCAGTTCTTGACGCGTGATTGAATATTTTTTCGCTGTGCGCGATTGGTTCGTCGTAGTCGTGGCAGGCAGAACGAACGAGTCTAGAGGGGTAGTACGGCATGACGGAGGAGAAGGAGGTGGAGGAGGAGGAAGTGGTGGTGAAGGTGGGTGAGGTGGGGTTTGGAGCCACCTGTCAAGCAAAAGAATCGCCATGGTAACCAGGAAACCAGGCACCGTCGCCATCGGCTGAAGGGGCTGCTTGTTCGACGGGGGTTGTCGACCGGATCTTTCAGAGATACTCATGGAGCTTACATTGAATTTTAAGAAAGTTTCTACCATCGGAATAAGATCGGTATAATCGGGTGTCCAAGAGCGCCTAAGACCCCATTCGAAAAGAGGATTTGCTAAGATGTCGAACGAGACTTCTTTCGAGAAAACTCTATGTAAACCATTTCGTTAAATGATGGACAAATTGGATTTTGAGCAATGTTTACGAAACGTATATTGAATTTCAATGTTACTTGAGAGTTGTTTATGTTTTGAAATTTCCATAATAAGATGTTTTGTTTGTTAACCTTGCTATGTTTTTTATGAATTTCAATCAGACTTAATTTATCTATCGCATTGAGAAGATTGATTGAATTAGCGTAGTTGGTATTTTTACGATATATTTGTAATACTTCGCAGAGTCTGAATAATCTCTTTGTAATATTTCTATTTCTTAGAAACGGATTCGTTTTGTTGCAGAAGTATCTTTCTTTATTCCAATGTCATCATTTTTTTCTTCATAAAGGTTGTCACAAAGTTCATGAGTTTTGTTTCACCGACACGCTGCTTCCTGAAGATATAAAAGGGTCAAATAAAGATTACATGCTACGTTCAATAATGTTGCTTCCGAGAAAAGGGTTAGATCTCCTTTTTCTTACATTCCCAAAGGAGAAGGGATACTCAAAGGAAGCATCTTTGAAGTTGCTCCTTTTAATTTTGATGAAATTTTACAAGTTGATAGAATGAAAGAAAATTGAAGGCACTTATATATATTTTTCTATATGCGATAATTCGATTAGAATAGAAGCACATCATTCTCGAAGTTAGAATATATTTTAGTTATAACTTAAAATTAAACATACCACGATTGGTTTTGAATTTGGAATCAAAACTCTGCATTCAATGTTATTGCTTTTTTTGATTTTACTTTACGGTAATTATAATTATAAATATTTTGCTATTATTATTTAATAATTGCCTATACTAAAGTGATTATTATCTGAATTCAATTGTAAAAAATATGAATTTTATTAAAAACCGATTATTGAATCGGTTACGGTGTAAATAAGAATGCATACATTGTCGGTAGATTGAGTATTTATACGATATATTATCTGTTCCTATATATTTAGAGATAAAAATTATATTGAAAATGAATCGTTATCATTTGACACGTCACTGAGAACGATTTCAACGGAATTAATTCGAGAAAGATCTTGAAGGCGACATATTAAGGAGCTCCTATGACTGGAGTTCGCAATCTTCCTTGTAAAAGTAGTGCGCGGAAAGAATCTGCACCCTCAAGGGGTTCTGAAAACGCAGGAAGGCGGAAAGGAAAGGAAAGGAAAGGAAAGGAAAGGAAAGGAAAGGAGAGGAAAGGAGAGGAAAGGAAAGGAAGGTTGGGAGGCCACGGGTGGAGGTGGGTGAATGGAGGTCCCTGTAATGATCTTACGGCCGTGGTAACTTTTTTAATCAGCGCCCGGTTTAATTATACGGTCGATGAGGAAGGTGCTCACTCCCTTCTCTCTTCTCTGGAACTCCTCCAGGCTCGTGCTCGAATCCCTCCCGGTCGGCTGGTCGGTCGGCTAGCCAGCCAGCCAGCTGCCCTCTTCGTTCTGCACCAGCCTCCATCTTCGAGCTTTCCTCATCAACCCCTCACAGGGTAGACCCGGCCAGTCGTTCTTAACTAGGTACCGACTCGCAAACAAGATTTGACTTATTGCGCCCGAGCGATTTCTCCTTCGTTCTCTGCTTATTCCTCAGGAAATCCCAGGGAATCTGCCTCGGGAAATTTTCAAATGTTTTTAATTGGACGCCGTGGTATAAACGCCGAGAAATCGCGATGATTGCGGCTCCCACATGAGCTCTTACATACTGACATAGTAATTGCCAATTTTATGGTAAATTGTTGTTGATTATTCATGCGTGTATTTAAAGGTATTTTATTCGTAAATCGTATCGTTCGATATTATTTTTTATTTCTCATCCAAGCATTCGCTTAATACGCATTTCGTGTTTTATAGTTCGTAAATTTTATTATTCGGAGATTTACTTATTTATAATACGATATGTATACGTATGTTTTTTATTGTTACACACGTGTGTTTAGTTCATACGTTATGCAATATTTAATGAATTATTGCGAATATAAAGCATCGTTTTTTGGCCGTTGAGCAATGGAGCTTACATCGTATAACTTGGCGCACATTGAGAAGGGGTGGTTAGAGTGGGGGATTAGAGGGTGGGCTCTCCTCTAGCGATACAATTCGAGCTTCCCTTTTGAGTAATGGCGTCTGCTATATCTTTAAGAATTTTCTACTTTTTTTAGTTTTTTTCTTATATTACTACATATATCGAAGAAATATTATTAATATATTAGTTTACTTTTATATTTTAATAGGATATAAATTAATTATATAAGGCAAATCAAAGTTTTTGTATTGATTTTTTTAAATTCAGTCTATATCTTAAAAAATGTAGATATATATCGATCAAATCTTGGTAGACGACATCGAAATGACTTCAATTCAAGTGGCTCGTGACCTGTAAATTTTCTTAAAGGGTTGCATTCAATACCAAATGAAAATCAATCTTTACCTGCTCGAATTTAACCTGAACGCGTGCTTGGTACCTGCTATGTGAGATACAGAATCGGAATCGATTCTATTAAGCATAAAATCGATGGTGTGAAAGTAATAGAGGGTATCGGTACCTGTTGCGTGGCAGCCCGATCTGTTACCTGGCACGATGCTCCCTTTTCCGTAGTGACAGGTAATTCGATTCTTTGCATCGGACCATTGAATATATAAATCGTTATCACGAGCGATAATCTGATCGTTTAGATAATAATCGATTACATTTGATCTCGTTACATTTTCTTTTCAAAAATTATAAAATCTATCAAGAAATGAAGTCAACCATTTTCATAACGAACTGTATTTAACGTTTTCATTAAATTTCGAATTATTTGCATAAAATATTTAGATGATTCATGTTATTTGTTAAATTAATATTATATCATAAATATTATATATATATGTATGCGCTAATAATTATGACAGTAGATCAAGTCAAAAAATGGGAAAAATGAATTTTATGATTTATTTAATATTACAATTATAGTCCATTGTTGCAATTACCGGTACATATGTAATTCTATAATTTAAACAGAAATGTTAGGAATTTTACTGGTAAGTTTGAATTATTATATCTAAAATGGAACGATCTTACGTCATTAAAGTCTCTTTTCGCCCATTGACAACTACATTATCGAGATGGCCGTTTCAAATGGCTTTAAAAAGAAGTTTTAACGACGTCGGACTCGTATTTCTTGTAGTATTTCTTTTTCACGATTGTCGATAGGTGCCATTGTCAAGTTTTATTCTACGTCGATGGCGATAGGAAGTTAGGAAGGATTTCCGTGGTAAACGGTACAAAATTGCTTCGTCGACTTTCTACAGTTTCCCCTCGCTCGGTGACAACGACGAGAGTTAATTACGGCATAATTAACGTGTAAGGTAATCCGCGGCTTACGTTTCGTCCAGACAAGAGAGACAGAGAGAAAGAGAGAGTGATGGGAAGGAGAGTTGAAGGGATCGCAATTAGTGCGCCGTCTTGGAAGATCGATCTTCTTTAGGGGAAGCTTATTCGTTCGAACAGGACATTCTCGAAGAACTTTGAAAGGCTTGATGCACTTTATTACCAGCTATATTATTCCTTTGATTGAGCTTTCGGTAATTTTCAAGATAGTAAGCGTTTTAAATATGCATAAATTGCATTCTTTAAAATATTTTGTGATAACATTAAAATATTGCGTTAAATTTCGTTATTCATAATAAAAAGAATAATAATGATAATTTCAGTCAATGGCCTACTCACGTTGGATTACGAATTCCTATCAAATCATTGAGGTCAAGCAACGTGGGCATGGTTAGTAAAATGGATAAGTGATTCGTTAGGAAAAACAAAAACCGTTGACTTCAGAAAGGTGGTAAAAAGATGTGACTTCTTTGGTAGTATTGAATAATTTAAGAACGTTTTATTGTAGTAGAGAAGTGACTCAAATTTGTAAAAAGGAGAGTAAAAAAAGGCAATAATAA